CTGCCCTTAGGGAGTGTCCAGTCTCTCTCTTGCTGCTGCTGCTAAGTCACTTCAGTTGTATCCGACTCTGTGCGACTCCATAGACGGCAGCCCACCAGGCTCCGCCGTCCCTGGGATTCTCCAGGCAAGAACACTGGAGTAGGTTGCCATTTCCTTCTCCAGTGCATGAAAGTGAAAAGTGAAAGCAAAGTCGCTTAGTCGTGTCCGACTCATAGCAACCTTATGGACTGCAGCCCACCAGGCTCCTCTGTCCATGGGATTTTCCAGGCAAGAGTACTGGAGTGGGGTGCCATTGCCTTCTCCGGTCTCTCTCTTACGGGTTTTCAATTAAGTTAGGCCCACTCCTGATAATATTCCTCTTAATTAGCTGAAAATCAACTGGCTTGAGACCTTGATTATATCTGCAAGATTCTCTAACCTTTACCATATTCTATTGTTTAAAAACAAGTCACAGGTCCCACTCACACTCTAGGTGAGGCACTTAAACAGGGCATAAACACCAGTGGGCAGGAATCATGAGACTACTTTAGGGACTCAATGCCACACTTCTCCACAGGGACACGATAGAGTACATGGTGATGGGACTGGTCAGAGATTCAGAACTTCTCCTTGAAGACTTATCAAACCAACGAAGATGAAAAAACAGGCCCAGAGGTGATTACAGTGTTGGATTTGAAGCTATACACTTCCCTTATATGGTTCTGAGGGAGTGTCACCTGTAAAACTCAGGCAAAGACAAGATGGCATCTGGCTAGAGAAGAGAAAGGAAAGTTTATGGCAGGCCTAAGAGAAAGGAACAAACACCTAAAGGCTGGGTACTCTAGACCGTGCCTGTGTTAATCCAGAGTAGTGGTCCAGAATTCTACACCTGTGGGTATGAAAAGCATTCAAGTGAAGTAGGTGAGAGGAGATAATGGAGCATGATGAAGACCATGGCCAAAAGAACCAGACATCTGCTATCAAGGGGGGCAGCCATTCTTCAATTCCAGTCATTTTTTTGCCATATGAGAATGTTGACTCCAAAGTGCCATGTGTACATCTTTGTGAAACTAAAACTTTAATATTGTGAATATTACTGTTTTGTCTCCAGATTTTGAAATGATAATCAGTAACTGACAATTTTTTAAACAAAGTATGAGCCAAGAAACACATACCTGTGCACTGGATTTGACTGAGGGAATAGACGCTTGTGGCTGGATGAATCACAAGTTGTAATAAAGACTGCCAGGAGAAATAGCAACAAATTCAGATATACAGATGATACCACTATAATGGCAAAAAGTGAAGAGGAACTAAAGAGCCTCTTGATGAGGGTGAAAGAGGAGAGTGAAAAAGCTGGCTTAAAACTTAACAAAACTAAGATCGTGGAATCCAGTCCCATAACTTCATGGCAAATAAAAGGGGAAAAAGTGAAAGCAGTAAATAGATTTTCTTTTCTTGGACTCTAAAATTACTGCAGTGGTGACTGCAGCCATGAAATTAAAAGACGCCTGCTCCTTGGAAGGAAAGCTATGACAAATCTAGACAGTATATTAAAAAGCAGAGACATCACTTTGCCAACAAAGGTCTGGATAGTCAATTTCCAGTAGGCATGTACAGATGTGAAAAAGGAGGAAAGTGAAGTCGCTCAGTCGTGTCCAACTCTCTGCAACCCCATGGACTGTAGCCCTACCACGCTCCTCTGTCCATGGGATTTCCCAGGCAAGAATACTGGAGTGGGTTGCCATTTCCTTCTCCAGGAGATCTTCCCGACCCAGGGATTGAACCTGGGTCTCCTGCATTGTAGGCAGACGCTTTACCATCTGAGCCACCGGGAAGTCATATGGATGTGAGAGTTGGACCATACAGAAACCTGAGCACTGGAGAAATGGTGCTTCCGAATTATGGTGCTGGATGGAGGAGACTCTTGAGAGCCCTGTGGACTGCAAGGAGAATGAACCAGTCAATCTTAAAGGGGATAAACCCTGAGTATTCATTGGAAGGACTGATGCTGAAGCTCCAATACTTCGGTCACCTTTGCAAAGAGCTGATTCACTGGAAAAGACCGTTTTGATGGGTGAGATTTGAAGGCAGGAGGAGAAGGCAGCAACAGGGGATGAAATGGCTGGATAACATCACTGACTCAGTGGACATGAATTTGAGCAAACTCTGGGAAAAAGCAAGGGAGGACTAAGGACCCTGGCCTGTTGCAGTCCACGGGGCCACAAAGAGTTGGACACAACTTACTAACTAGACAACAACAAAAGGCAAACATAGGGAAGCAAAAGTGGCAGAGCCCACTGAGTAACCAAACCCTATTCCTTGGGCTATTTTTACAGCACTAGTTCCCCACTGCGGTTTGCCCACTAGTGCCATCCATATCACCTGCAAACTTGTTTGAAATGGACGTTCTCAGGCCCCACCAGCCCAACTGAATCAGAATCTCTGAAGCTGGGGTGAGCGATCTGTGTTGGAACAAGCCCTCCAGACAATTCTTATCTTCACCAAAGTTTAAGAATCACTATGTTATAGGAATCAGGTTCCAGCCTTAAGATCATTTTACTCTCTCCTGAATCATTTCTTGTTTCTATAATTTTGAAGATAGCAAACAACAGCACAATACAACCCTCTACTAAATACCTAACATTCAAAATAATAGAGAAGGATGACTGCTTAGACATGATGCAGCATCTCACTTTAACACAGTACTAAATCACATTGCATTTTATACAAATTTATTACCTGTACCTTCACAGAGAAGTCATCAAGAAGATGAATGCATATGCATATGAACGTCATGGAATGCTCCAGAATGGAGCAGGAGGAGAGGGATCCTGCTATTAATTTCTAATCATAGATTAGAAAGGCCCTCTTGCTACATACAGAAATAAAGTCTGCCTCTGCTTGATAATACTTCATAAGTAGATCAAACTGCTTCATGGAAGGCTGAAATTTGCAGGACCCCAGTTCCAATTAATCCAAGAAGGCATCTGGCCTGAAGTCAACACTGTTTTTTTGGAAAGATATGTTGAAATTCCTGTTTTGTCTGAAGAGTTACAATTTTTCAGCCTTCATTCTATGCCTGTCCCAGCAAGTAAGGATAGGATGTTTAAATTTCAATATTCCTGGGCTACAGCTATCCATCACATATCACCAAGCAAGAGGGATTCATGTGATTCAGCATATAAATCTCACGTTAATACATTTGCTGTTAATGGAGCTGCTTATTAATAGGCCCATTTACTTCATTCTTTGATTTAAGATGGCCCCAAATAATGTAAATTGCCCTTCAACATGCTGTGAGATGTCAGGGCCCCTGTGAACATCTTATTTGATGACATCACACCCACAGCCCTACCATGTTTACTAGTGTTGTGCCCCAGGCCCCGCAGTCACTCAGCCAGCCCTTAGGGCTGTGCACTCTTAGGTAGTGGCCATGTGCTCAGCAATGGGCTCTGCGCTGTGGGGGTGCAAGTGTAAACAGTATGCTCCCTCCTCTGCATCCTCCTACATTTATCAGGAATTGATTCTGTCCTCTACCTGTCCCTGGAAATCATCACCTGAAACATCTCACTTAAAATCACTTGTCCAACCGTGAACTTCCATCTTATTCAACTACTGAACTCTGAAGTCAGTGCTTATTGTGAGAGATGCATTCAGCAATACTTATTCCTGGATATCCCTCAGGCAGGTGCCTGGCCAGAGGCCCACCTACTCTCAGCAAGCCCAGAACAGCTAGTTTTCCCTCCAGCTTCAGAAATGATGGCTGTCTCTAAGGTTGAGCAACAAGGGAAGGAGATGTTATCCGTTTGGGGACCACATTCTACAAAACACATGCATCTTAAAGCACCAGAGTCGTGCTTGGTGAGGTGAGACGACTGTTACCAAAGACACAGGAGGACCAAGGATGACTAAAAGAACAAGGAATGGCAGCTCACAGGGCCTCAAGCGTGCATGCTTTCTGGATACAGTTGAGTGCACAGTTGTCATCTGTCTTCTGTTTCTTTTTGCCATGCATGTGGTTAGCTCAATTCCCAGAAATTAAACATACAAAGTGGAAGAAGCAAAACAGACTTGGTCTAAACAGTCTCATGCCCCTACAGAGACAGTCAGAGTAATGCCACTGACACGAAAGATAGGAAAGGGCCTTTGTGATAGATGCAGGCTAGCACCCTCTCTGATGAACCTCTATTTCTTGCTCAGACCTCACCATTTAGTTGAGATAGTGATCACCAGCTACCAATCTGCTAACTGGTGTCTACTTGAGGTACTTATTAAAAACATGGAATCCTGGACCACATCCTCGGAAATTCTGATTCTGTAAGTGTGCAACAGGATCCCTAATTTAAAAGCTCTCCACAGGAAATCCAAGCTGGCTAACAGCTTGAAGAACCTCTGGGTTAAGGCACTCAAAAGACACCAAAAACATATCTTGATATCTTGATATTGATATCTTTCACTGACACCCTAACATATGGGTTTATCAAATAAATAAATGTTAACTTGGAAATAAAAAAAAAAGAACTTGAATAGAGAAGAGACAAGCTTTGACAAGGGTAAGGAATGACACTGGGGGATGAAGAGGAGATTCTGGATGGTAATGAGGGGACAAGAAGGAACTACAGGAACATGGAAACAGAGGAAATGGCTTCAAGGCCACATGGTTGCCTTCCACATTCTATAGGTGCTGAGTTCACCAAGCAGCTCTGGCTCCATGGAAAACAGAAACAAAGAGAAGCACTCTCCATGCTGGACAAAGCATACCTCACAGTGACTCTTCACTCAACATATTGAACACTTCTACATGGGTTTCTTCTCGCTACCAAAAAAGTTTCATTTTGAAAACAAGGAAAGCCATAGTATTCGGTTTTGGTCAACCAGAAAACACAAGGCTGAGAAACCATAGGTCATTATGAGATGAAGTCCACATGGGGTACTTATCCATGGACAAGCTGGAGGTAATAATGCAACAGAGATCCTCCAGAGATGATGGCACCATGGTGCCATCAACATCGCCTTACCTTTCGATCTGGCCAGTTGTACTTGGCAAAGATAGTGTCATAGGTGTCCACTGCCCCATCGGTGACGAGCATGATGGCCTGGCTGCAGATGCTGCCTTGTCCAGTGTGGTTGAACTGTGGAGAGAAATAAGTGCAAACTGAGAAACACCCCAGAGGGCTATGTGCACCCATGAGACTTCGGAAGCATGAGATCTTAGGTTCAGGAAGCCTCTTAACATGAGAGTTCATTATGCACCACCAGAAAGAACCTACAGGATAAGGCTTTGCCCACTTATGGATCTCCATATTTACTCTGAGAAACTGCAACTAAATACAGGCCATAGAAGAGATTTCCTAAATATGCACACAAGGTAGGCAGTGAGATTCTAGGATAGTTAACCTGTCTTACCTTCAAACATGGATAGTGCTTCAAAATATAAGCCCAAAGGAGTTGGCAGAGCAACCTTTTAGAAACACAATTATGGGCAACAGAATACGTGATGAGTAACATCTCTTTCAAAATCTAAATGAATATAGTTTGAATGAGTCTAATGGATACAGATTGTGCCATGTAATAAAATCAAGGAGGTTTTGTACACATGGAGAAAAAAAAAGTCAGGAGCGTGCCAATTCAGAATATACTGTAAGCACCCTTTTTAGGGTTTATTTTAAACATGTATTTGTTAGCATGTAACACTGTATATTATGTATGTTAGTATGTACAGCTAGCTGAAATCCCAAGATTGTGCTCACTGTGGTACTAATTCTGTACTTCAACTTTCAGTTTCACAGAGCATTTCAAAAGTGCCCAGTCTTTGTGAGTGGTAGCTTGGGTGACCAGACGATGGCTGTCAGAGGTCTGTGTCCTTCCCTTGGATCACAGGTGAAAAATCCCCTTAATGAATGCTATTAATGCTACAAATTCAAAGTAGTGCCCTTTAAAAACCCTACAGTGACATACCAATGAGGGACACACAGAAAGATTTTAACCTTCAGTAGTGAAAACTCCCACCATTACAAACTGTGAAGTTGTTTTGTTTTGTTTTGTTTTCATTTATTTTAAAATTATTTGCTAAGTGCCCACACAGTGCTGAGGATGAAACACAGAAAAATCTCTTCCCTCATGTAACTTATATTGTTTGATGAGATACCAAGGTAAAGGAGTAAATTATGTTTTAATGTTTGAAAATGGCGACGCAAAGTTAAAAAAAAAATAGGGGGATAGAAAATGCAGAGGGGTAACTTTAGAAAATATAGTCTTGGGAGCTATTAATGAGGTGGTAACTTTTGAATAATACCAGAAGGAGGTGAGCATCTGGGGCAAGGGCCTTTCAGAGAGGGCAAAGAGCATATGCACAGGCATGAGTGACAATGTATAGGCATGTTCTATCTACTAACCATGACATGGGGGAAGGATGATGGTCACCCTTGGATTTGCTGCTGACTAACAAACAAAGCTAGTGAAGGTGATGGAATTCCAGTTGAGCTGTTTCAAATCCTGAAAGATGAAGCTGTGAAAGTGCTGCACTCAGTATGCCACCAAATTTGGAAAACTCAGCAGTGACCACAGGACTGGAAAAGGTCAGTTTTCATTCCAATCCCAAAGAAAGGCAATCCCAAAGAATGCTCAAACTATCACACAGTTGCACTCATCTCACACGCTAGTAAAGTAATGCTCAGAATTCTCCAAGCCAGGCTTCAGCAATACGTGAACCTTGAACTTCCAGATGTTCAAGCTGGTTTTAGAAAAGGCAGAGGAACCAGAGATCAAATTGCCAACATCCGCTGGATCATCAAAAAAGCAAGACAATTTCAGAAAAACANAGAATTGATGCTTTTGAACTGTGGTGTTGGAGAAGACTCTTGAGAGTCCCTTGGACTGCAAGGAGATCCAACCAGTCCATCCTAAAGGAGATTCCTAAAGGAGATCATGGGTGTTCATTGGAAGGACTGATGCTGAAGCTGAAACTTCAGTACTTTGGCCACCTCATGCAAAGAGTTGACTCATTGGAAAAGACCCTGATGCTGGGAGGGATTGGGGGCAGGAGGAGAAGGGGATAACAGAGGGTGAGATAGCTGGATGACATCACTGACTCGATGGACATGAGTTTGAGTAGACTACAGGAGTTGGTGATGGACAGGGAGGCCTGGCGTGCTGCGATTCATGGGGTCGCAAAGAGTTGGGCACGACTGAGTGCCTGAACTGAACTGAATGAACCAGAGCTACCAGAGCACTCACACTGAAGTGTAATGCCCAGTCTCCATGAACTTAGGTTTCTAATGTGGAGTTTGAAGTTGCAGTGACTTTAAAGAAGATTGGATGAATGGATGGATGGATGGAATGGATGGCCTCGTGGTCATATTAGGACAGAGTAAAACCAACTCAAAACATGGATGGAATACCATAGTATAATGGAAAATATTCAATCTTATTTCAGCACCACAAACTTGTGCCTAGTATAAATTATCTTTTGAGAATATTTTTTCTAGAGACTAGCTTGGTGGTCCAGTGGCTAAGACTCCTCACACTCAGTGCACAGGGCCTGGGCTTGACCCCTGGTCAAGAAACTAGATCCCACATGCCATACCTAAAAGATCCCAGATGCTGCAACTAAGACCAGGTGCAATCAAATAAAATTTTAAAATAAATAAGTAATAAATAAATATTTTAAAAGAATATCCTTTTCTTCATTTATAAGATGGGAATAACATGCTTATAAGGTTGTTACAGCACAGATTATATGTCCATTATATGCTGGGCTACAAGTATGAACTTACTTAATCTTTACTAGTCTCTGAGGTACATACTATCATTATCCCCATTTGACCAGTGAGGAACAGAGGCACAGAGATTAGCTAACTTTCCCAAAATCACAAAGCAACTATCTGTCATAGCCGAGATGTGAACCCAGGCAGTCCAGCTCCAGAATCTATTCTTAGATTCAGTATACTCGACCTACGGCCTCCCAATAAAGAGATGACGTTCCTCAATCTGATAGCTCCACAAGTGTTCATTTCCTTCTCCTGTTCTTCCTTGTTCTATTCTTTCTAGTGTTCCAGGGTCACATGGCAGACACCAAGGTCACTACCCTGAGAGTGAGTGCTCCTTAAATTCTGTGCCTTTAGAATGTGGCTCACTTTAGTCCTGACCCTGGCAGTCCATTCCTGCAACTCCGACTGGGCAGGTGTCCTTAAATTAATAAACACACAAGGCACATGATCCAGTATCAGTAGGTAGAAATATCTGAGAACTAAGACCATTGGACCACAAAACTTTTCACATAATTTCTTTTTTACTGTCTTTATTGTCCATAACTTACTATTCTAGAAAACCCATCAACTCTTGAACAGAAAGCATCAAAGGACAATTCATAGCGTGAGACTCTTTGAACCTCTGACCTCAAAATCTTCCCTGGCTGCATCCACCAATTGTAAACTATAATTTAGGATTTATACCCTGTCTTAACCAAGTGTTTACCCTCTCTTCCACCCTGAGGACTCACTTTCAGCTAGACTTTCATAGTCTCAATAAATGACTTTGCCCTTTCCACTCTGAGATGCTAAGATTCTATCATAGCACAACAAGAACAAACAGTCTTGCAGCCTTGTCTTATCAACAGGTTGCTCCAGAGATATTCTGGAGAGCCTGAGATTTGACATAGCCTTCATGTCACTGGATAAACTCAGTAATGTGCCACCAAACACAAGTGATCTATTCATTTGACCACAGAGGCTGCAAAAGGGAAAAAATCAGGACACCACGAGACTGTTGTTCATGTAACTCATTTGAAAACACCCAGGAAAAACTCTCCCAAACAAAAGGCAAGAGGGAAGAGAGGGAAATAAAGATATCTGAATACTGCACACTGGAAGAAGGGGTTGCCCCAAGCTGTTTATTTAAATCCATTACTTTCTTCCATGGCTGAGTCCCTGGTTTTTCTCTGCAGCAATCTGCAGTTGGGAGAATTTTGAAGAATGCAATTAAATTCAAATGCTTTGATGAGTAATATCTCTTCTCTTCATATTTGTCTAGAACTTTTTTTTATTGAATAGCAGGAGTGATGAAAGTGTTTTCCATAATAATAACAATGACAAGGGCCTGATGATGAACTACAATTAGCTCAGTGATTCATCAGTTAGCAGCAAAAATTTCAATGCATCCTGACATTTAGAGCATTTGGTTGTGATTAACAGTCTTTGAAATGTCACCGAATTTTATTTAATTGGCTAAGAAAAATTTTTAAAAGGTAATCACTGCAAAGATTGTATTCATCGCCAAAAAAGATAATTGCAGTTGTCACATGACAAGGTAGATGCTAACTACTGTAGCAAACCGGCTCTGTGTTCTTAAGAGAATCTAATGAATGCAGCAGAGATCAATAGCTAGAAGGGTCTCAGAAGTTTATTTGAATGCTCCTTTCAAAGCCATTTGTGCAACAACTGCAAGCCTTTAAATCATCTGAGCAAATACTGAAGCTGAAACGTAGGTAAATGCAAAACAGAATTAACTTCATTTAGTTACAGTAACTTCTGAACCATTCTAAGCCATAACCACAATTGGCATTTCAATTGTGTGTGTCTAAGAGGGAAAGAGTGTGTGTATGTGCGTTTGTGTGTTCAAGAAATAGCTTTTTATTTCATACTGGCTTGCAAAAGCAGACATAATACACAGGAAGAGAATTATATCACTAAAGGTCATATTGATGAAGTGGAAAATAGCTAAAGCTTCATTTTCATGGGAGATTAACCGTCTCTGTGTTTTTCAAAGTGTTTGGCTATTTAAAAGCCCCGTGGCAAGAAATGGGATGGAAATGCTTCTCTCTCTGGGATAAATGTGCACTCAATATGGTGCCAACTGTCAACAAATCTCAGGGACATTTTGAAACGTTTTTGTTCCTTCCATTTCTTACTTTCTGGAATTTACACGCGACCCTTCAGACTCCTGACTGGCCAGACCTCAAAGGCCTTTTACCGATAAAGGTGATCAAACAGGTGTGTGGAGGTTTCCTTGCTTCAAAAGTGTTTCTCTCACTAGGATTCAAGGGAAAAATCCACCATGTATTGGTGATCTTCTGGTTCTTGGAGGTATTGGAAATACTATACCCTCTTAAAGGATAAAAAAATATTATGCCTGAAGGGGTGCCTGGGGGAGCTGTGAGTTCTACAAATTCTATCCTGAGGTTATAACATGAGGCAGAGAGCTCCTGGGTCAATAATTTGAGTGCTGGTATAGACATATTTTAAAAGGTCTGTTCACTGTAGGACTGCTAAGGCCCCTAGTAGCAAATGAATTGTGAGTCTCCAAAAGGAGGATGGCATCCCACACCTTGACCACAACACCTATGTTGGAGCCTTGAAGCAGATAGCATTCCACTTGGCATTCCAGGGGATCACTGGCTTAGGAGAGTTTTAAAACAAATTTGGTAAATGAAAAGCATGGGGAGAGGAAAAAGTACCAGGGCAAGGAAAAGAAGAGAGGGGGATGAAGGGAAGCAGATATTCCTGAGGATTTGGGCAGGAAGCAGGACCAAAGCATTAAGAGTAGGAGCTGCTTCTAGAAATCTCAGGCAGCCTGGCAAAACTTGAGGCTGCCTAACGTCTCTGTGGTCATGGTGATGGCACTTCCTACCCAACCCAGCATGACTGAGAGGGAGCTGGGTGCCACTGCCTCATGCTGAATCCTCAACCCCCATCCAGCATGGCTGGATTCACGACGACATGTGATGTACATAGCCACACAGGGCCCCACACTTGGTTGAACACTCTGGTATCACTCTCCTAAAATTCTTATTTACTTTTGAACAAGCACCTGCATTGTCATTTTGCACTGGGCTTCATATATTAAGTGACCAGTGTTGGGTCTATTCCTAGCCTCATTTTAAAGATGAGAAAAATAAAGGTAAAACCAAGCAGAATTTTTTCAAGGTCACACAGCAAGCTCTGAGTGAGTTAGGCTTCTCAGCCCAACCTGCCTGACTCCAGAAGCCACAAACTTCAACACAAGCATCTCCTAACTCTCTACTCCTTCACCACCTCTGTCAAATGTCAGGAAAACAGAAATCTGCAAGCACATTTCCAAGCAAGGGACTTCCTCCCCCCATCTCAGAGTAGTCTCCCCCTGCACTAAACACCACGTTGTTTGAAATAAAGAAAGCCAGTTTCCCAAATGTGGCAAGTCCCTTCAATATCACCCTCTAGAAAAAGCCTGCTAAGCTGTGGAGATCAGCATCTCCAAGCCCTCTAAAGGTGCCTATTCAGGGTTCAAAGTATTAGTCACTCAGCTGTGTGTGACTCTTTGCAATCCCATGGACTGTAGCCTGCCAGGCTCCTCTCTCCACGGAATTCTCCAGGAAAGAATACTGAAGTCAGTATCCATTCCATTCTCTAAAGGATCTTCCCCAGCCAGGAAATGAACTCAGGTCTCCTGCATTGCTGGCAGATTCTTTACCATCTGAGCTATGTCAAAAGCTATCCAAGGTTCAAAGTAGAATAGAAAGATGTGGCTTGGTCCTTGGCTCTGATCAGTCATATCTATTAATTATTAATACATTGTTAATAGGTATGTGCTGTCCCAAACACTGAGTTGTCCATAAATGCTAATTATCTGTAGCCAGCTGAGTAGGAAGGGCCTCCGGTTTGTATGACAGAAGCTAAAATGACACCCTCCCTCCTTATTTTTCTCTCCTCTGCACTGATATACCAGACTGAGATGTAAATAGCCTTCTATGTGCCAGCAGATATTATTGGTAAAAAAAAGAGTATAGAATTAGGACCTATCCTTGGCTTGAGAGCCACTGTAGCTTAGTGGTAGAAACTCAAATTATGGAGTCAGACATAACTGACCACCAAAACAAGCCACGCGGTGCTAGGTGAATTCTCACCTGGAAACTGATGGCTGGTAGCCTGCAGAGCTACCTGGAGGAGAAGCCTTTGAACATCCAGTTGCTCTCCCAGCTCCTGTGGAACTTCAACATAGCTGTCATCCCATTCAGGGCTTGCTTGCTCTCAGCTCCACCCCATATTTTTTCCTGAAAATCACATTTCCCAGACTGGGCGATAGTTTTGACAAGTTTTGTCTTCAGGTGAATACTGAAGGACTCAAGGGAGAGGCCAAGGTATTTCTAAGCCATTTCTCCTTTTCTCTCTGCTTTGGGGGCCTGGGCATTTTCCAGCAATGGCAGCATCACCTCCAAGGCACTAGTTTCCACAGCACAGGCCCTTCCCTAGCATTCCAGCTCCTGCTGGGCAGGCCCCTCAGTGGCTTTGTTCTGCTCTGGATGGCCCCAGTGATGAGGCTCTGATGGCAGCCCTCCCTCCTGTGGTCCTTCCCGACCCAGAGGGGAGCTGCCTCCTGCTGGTGTTAATCCATGAATTGGTTCACTCTCTGTTTGATTTCTCAGCTTTTCCATCCCCTGTGCAACCAACTTCCTGAGTTCAACTCCTGCTGTTTGAAATACCTAGAGGAGCTTCTATTTTTCTGCTTCTTAACATCTAAATCCCTACCTCCTTGGTCCAAAGCCACCACTGTGTGTCACTCAGATAATGGCCTTCCTGCTATTGTCTGTTTATCAATACAACAGCCAGCGGATGCTGCTGAAATCCAAGTTGGACTCTGTCATTCTCTGCTCAGACTCCAGTGACCTTCCAACCCACACAGAGCAAGAGCCAAAGTCCTCCCTGTGTCTATTAGGCGCCACATGATGCTGCTGCCTCTGCGACCGCATCTCCTGGTACACTCTTTCTTTCCTACTTGCTCTTGTCATGATGGTCTCCTTGTACCATAGATATGCCCTCCCTCAGGGCCTCTGCATTTGCTGTTCCTCTTGCTGAAAACTTGTTTCTCAAGATACCACAGAGCTGCTCCTTCACTTCCTTCAGGTCTGCACTCCAACATCACCTAACCAGAGAGCTCTTCCCCTAGCCAGAGAACTCTTGACCTCACTGTATAAAGGAACAAGCCCTTATCATTTTGGAACAGTAGAATTATTGTTCTCCATAAGATTACTCGTTTCATATGTCTCCCGTCATTAGAACATGGGTCAGCAAACTTCTTCTGTAAAGAGCCATATAGTAACTGTTTTATTTTTTACAGGCCATATGGTATCTATTGAAAATAATCAACTCTGCCACTGTAGTACAAGAACAGCCATGGACTATATGTAGTCAGGTGGGCATGTCTGTGCTCCAATAAGCCATTATTTACAAAAACAAGATGGAGGCTGATTTTCCTCTTGGGACATAATTTGCAGACTTTTTCACTAGGATGTCAGGGCCATTAAGGCAAATACTTAGTCTATTTTGTTCACTGGTGTACTATTCCCAGTGCCTGATATTTAAAAAGCATGCAACCTATAGTAGTTAAATAAATAATAGAGAGTCTGCATTAATAAAGATAGTTATTTATTTTCCTACTGCCCTCCCAGAGTAAAAAGAACACAGAAGTCGCATGATGTTTTAGCTTAACACAATTGCATTCAAGGGGCAGAATCACCAGCCCCAAATTCCACAACATATTTCACAGGACGTTAACAGGTGCTATTAATGTTTGAAATTCTCTGTTCAGCAAAGCAGGAGAGATAGCAGGTGCAGCGGGGTTTGTTTTTGCAGTACTTACTGAAGCCCCCAGTGTGCACGGCATATTGTGCATCTCCAGGGGGACGAGAGGAAGGTTGGGATAGGTAGCGCCTGGAACACTCCCTAAACACAGCACACAGAGAAGGCCTTCTTCCTCTGAACATTACCACAGGCAGGGATTCGGTGTGACTCACAATAAGGAATCCACTCCATGAAGAAACTGAGAGTTTCTCAGATGGAAAGAAATCTGTGGGAGATGGTGCTCTATTATTGAGACACTGACGGCCTCAGTCAATAACAGTGGCAGGTGAGTCCCCTGACCAGTCTGTACCATCGACTCTGCCCAGCAGGGGGCTGAGATGGCCTCCCAAGTTGGACCTGGCTCCCCAGCCTTACCCTCTTATCTTATGCCTGGCTAACAATAATGCTGGCCCATGAAAATCCCATCTATTCTCTTAGAGGAGAGAAAGGGAAATCAAAGAGGAGCTTACATCACTGAGAATGTTGAAGGCTTCATTCAGAGCTATATCCAGCATTCCAATTCCTTTGGCAAAAAGTTTGTCCAGATGCTCCCTGAAGTGCTGAAACAACAAAGCAAAAAAATCCATTAGCATCTGTCCTGTTATATGAAATATCAACCCTGAATGAACAAGCACATGCCAAGGCAAAACCCATGATTCTCAAGCCCCAGTGGGCATAATTTAGTTTTTGCCTTCCAAATTCAAAACATAAGAACTTAATACAAAATTTACCTTCCATATGTATTTTTTTTTTAGCTTTGATTACAATTTAGGGGAAAGAAAGTTAGGATTTTGGTGAAAAGTATAATTTGTTGAAAATTTCTGCCTCCCTCTCCAGTTTCATCTCCTGTGACTCTCCACTCTTCCAGGGAGTGCTATGCGCTCCACCTTCCCCTCCCTTCCCCTATTATCCCACTCAATCATTTTCTAAGACTCCATACATACTCCCCCTCCACTGGGAGCACACTCTCCATCCATCTTCTGTCTTCCTCTTATCTACTTCTGTCTTATCTACTTCTGTCTTATCTACTCAGGGCGTGTCTGTTTAGACACTCACCCCTTCTTGCCCTAGAAAGCCTTCCCAGAACACCCACCCCTGAGTGTGTGGAGTGCTTCCTTGCAAGCGCAGGCTGCCATACCAGGCTCAGATCCACCGTGCACTTAGCACTCCAGGTGTATAATCACCTGATTAGATTCCGTCCCCACTCAAGACTGTGATGTTTCTAAGACAGGGAACGTCTGATGGTCTTTTGTTTTCCACATTGGTGCTCAAAAGCCACCTCCAAAGAGCCAAAAGTGAAAGTGAAAGTCGCTCAGTTGTGTCCGACTCTCCGCGACCCCATGGAATTCTCCAGGCCAGAATACTGGAGTGGGTAGCTGTTCTTTTCTCCAGGGGATCTTCCCAACCCAGGGATCAAACCCAGGTCTCTTGCATTGTAGGCAGATTCTTTACCAGCTGAGCCACAAGGGAAGCCCCCAAAGAGCCAAAGAGTGAGGCTAACGACTGGATCACAACATGAGACCCACGCCTATGGGAGGTGGATCCAGGCAACAAATACAGAGGGCTTCGAGGAACAGGCAGATGGGAAGGAGGCTCTTGAGGAGCAGCCCCAGGCCTTTCCTCTATGTCAGTTCCACAGAAGCCCAGCATCAGCTGGAAAATAAAGGGGACAAAGAAACTGACTGTGAAACCCAGACATCTCCGCTTTCCAGAAAGAGACAGGAGCAGGTCCAGGCCTCTGCCCAGGTACACGGGAATGTACATGACGGTCAACGGCCCAAAGCCCATGTCGACAGCATCACAGCACTTGGCAACGTTTTCCAACTGACCCAACCCAAAACCATTTGTTTTCTACTGAAATGGATTATTCTGTTCCCAAAGGCATCCAACCCTTGTCTGCTGGGGAAATAGCTGGAGAAGTCACTAAAGACACTAGGAGGAAGAGGGACAAGAGATGTGGGTTAGAGAAAAGGCGTGCTAGTGACTTCCTGGCCTAGGAGTGGTTTCATTTCTCCTAATGTGCCTGTGAACCAACAGTACTCCAAGTATGCCATCAGAAATCACATGGTGACGCCCACTCATAATGTGTCTGCCTTGGGACTCTGAAAGTGATCAAAGCCATCATAGACACTGATCCTAGGATATGACTTATAGTTCTAAGATGCTGTTCTGCCTGGAGCTCTGGTCATCAGGATGTGCTGCAGATTTGCTGGCAAACTGGACTGGAAAGCTTGAGTGGGATCCTTAGGGCAATCAGCTTTAATGACATCCAAGCTGAACATGAATCAAGGCTGGATGTGAAGCTGGTAAATCACCCTGGAGATACACATAACACCACAAGACCTTTCCCCTGGGCCACCCCTCCCTCATAGCAACCACATTGGGATGCTCACCAGAGCAGCCTTGGTTCTGGAAGCCTGCTTGATGTTAGGTTCTGAACAAAAACCAGTCAGTTGTGTCCACATAACAACCCTGTGACGTTCCATCATTCCACTCTGCAGAGAGTAAGACTGAGGTCCAGTATTGCACCTAAATTCACATACCTCAAAGCTGCCTGGCCCAGGTTCTACCCAGGTAAGTTTCAGCTGCTCTAATTCTCTCCTTTCTACTACACACTCACTGCTGTTTATTTTGTGTGTGTGTGTGTGTGTGTGGTGGGAGAGGGGGTAACCTGAATGCCAGGCACTGGCTATGAACTCGACTGAGACCTGGCCAGTGTGTCTCCAGTAGGCCTGCTCTTAGTCTCTGCACTCAACTGAATCTACAAGTGATTATCAAGTGGCATGTGGAGGGTCAGAGAACTAGGCAAACGACACAGCCAGGAACCAAGTTTCCTGCTTCTCTATTCTTGCTGCCCTTGACTGGCAGCAGGATGCCAAACTCACGGCATAGCCTCTATGAGCACTCAGCAGATAAACCCAGAAATTTGACTGAATTTAGGAAGCTTACGGGTCCCACTGTGGGTAGGTAAGTAGTCAGAGCAAATCAGTCTGCCTTCTCCGAGAAACTGTACCCTTGGAAACCTGACTTGTGAGTGAGTGGTGGCCACCAAGAAGACTTACGTTTGGTAAGTGTCACCCAAGGTGGACCCAACACATCTTATAGGACACAAAGCAGGATGGCAGGCTGATCACGCAAACTGTGGAAAGTGTGTTGTTTAACCAGACCCAGGTTCACAACACACTGGCTGGACTCTGCCTCGACACGTTAGTTCTGTTCATCTGATGTCATTTCTGTCAACTGCATTTAGTTGTGCTCAGTCACACAAGTTTACACAGGACTTTTTTTTTTATAACATAGCAATTTTTCTTTTAATCCTTGTGTAGCTGCATGTCATGTGCAGAATGATGTTTCAGGCAATGGCTGCTTTTATTGTTGGACACTTAAGAGCAAAATGCAATAACATGTCATGGAATTCCCCTCAATTTGCTATTATAACAAGGTCAATTGTGATTTTGTTTCTTCCTGATAGAAACTGAGCTCCTACATGAAATAGAAAAAAATATTTCTTTATGTTAAAGGTTTCTAAATGATGTCACAGATAAAGGATTCTTTGTTTTTTCCTCCTGGTCCTCTCTCTCACATTCAAACCCCCTTTCCTTCTACTCCACAACCTAAACAACTCAACTTCATTATTCTAGTCAACCAGCCTCTGCATTTAACCCTCAGTCCAACCCTCCTCCAAAGTGGGGACAGGGGGTCCTGCCTTCCAGGGAACTATCTCCTGTGATGTGACCTCCACTAAGAGCTGCTCTGCCCTTTACAGTAGTCATGAGCTACGTGTAGCTGTTAATATTAAATTTAATTAAAATTACCTAAAATTAAAAACTCAGTTCCTTGATCACACAAGCCACATTTCAAGTTCTTGACAGCCCCATGTGGCTAGTGGTTATTGGACTGGACTGTGAAGATTAAATACTATCTCCATCATTGCCTAAAGTTGTGTTGGATAATACTAACCTGGAGACACAAGAGCTAGACTAGTCCTTCCTCTTACCAATCCATCGCCTGATGGTGAGTCAGAGGAAACTCTAAGGCCAGTGGTTATGTATGATTTCTCCTATCTAGAATTCTTTTCCCTTCTGCTGATTTTCCCTCTTCCCCAACACCCCATAATTTATATGAGTTGAACAGTGCTAACATCTCTCTCCTTCCCCAATCAAGGGTTGGCCACCCTGATCAGCCCTGTTCAATGTGTGATTTCTATCCCATCAGCCATAGTTGGGCTTCTACTGAAACATGATAAAGAAGATTCTCTCTCCATTCAGATTACTGAGAAGTCAGTGCTGCCAGCAGCCACGAAGCCACTACAGGAAGAGCTCATCTGAACAAATGTAACAGCCAAGGAGAACAGAGCCCACAGCGCAAGGGGGCAAGACAGAGTCACGGCAGCGTGACCCCCTAAATCCAGCCATGCTTACTTTTCTAGGGTAAGTGAGCCAACAAATTTGATTCTTTGCCTGACTAGATGTATTGGGGCCACTCAATTCAAAGGACCTTGATGACCATGCCCATCACATAACCCTGACTGAGGCAATATATCCCCAAAGACCTCCCTGCGTTACAGTGACCTTTCTCACCTCACCTATGCCCCCTCTTTCCTCTTCTTAATCACTGTCATTTCATTGCCTGATTTACACATTGTCTGAGTGCCCATGCGGACAGAGCCAGGCACTTCATACACAGCACACCCCTAGTGCACACGGATGGGACAGCCATGGCCTTCCCTCCCCATGGCCTGGGCTAATTTCTTGAAGATGATCTCTAGTTGTGTGCATTCCAAGGGTAGTGTCCGAAAGGGAACGAAGGGGCCTGGCTGAATGTCCTGCAGCCTCCTGAACAGATTTTTTTAAATCTATTCTCAGGTATGGCTGCTTACTGTAAGATCAAAAATGTTTATATTTAATGTAATCATATTATATGAATACTTGTATGTTAGCAACCAGTAGATGGATCCTATGGACTCTGCAAGAATAAAACTGAATTAGGATCCAGGAGACTGAGCCCTAGTTTTGGTTAGACTGCTTACCAGCTATGATGTCCCAAGACAAGTAGCTTTGGTTCTCAGGCCTCAGTTTTGCTACCTATGAAATAGGGGTGAGAAAACTTCTGTTTACTTGGTAAAAAATGAGAGCATCCGTGCCTTAGAGCAGTAAGCAGGAACCAGGTGGCTTGAAGTCCAATTTCCACTCTGCCACTCACCCTCCCTCTATAAGCCTTAGTAAGATACTTCCTTCATCGATGCCTTCTTTTCTGACTTAATTCAAAAGGCATCAAGCTGACTTCTCACTATTATTACAGGAAAAAAGAAGACATCTGAAAGAACCATGATGACAGAAACATGTGAGCATCTTTTAATTTCATATTTGCTAAAAGAAATACTTGAAAAAAAAATCCTACAAAACTTTATGCCTCAAACATCTATGCCAACTTCCTGGTTGCAACTTTACAATCTAACCCACCTTGAAAAATGACTCATTTCACCTTAAAGGGCTAGGTTTTATTAAGTGTAGAGACATGCGGTTGATTTTACTGACACCGAGGACTGAGTGTCTTCTAGAGCAAGCTACTGAAGGACAGTATTTGGCTCAAAATTAGCTGAGCCAGGAAACCGGTCCTCAACAACTGTGCCAGGAGGTGGCCAGTTTCCATTATTTTTCTAAATTAAAATAAACAATTTATTGGGAATGGTGACAGTTCCATTTTATTATTAAACTTCAATAAAGAAGGAGGAGGGTGGCTTTTTATCTTTGCTTCAGGCGCTCATGCAGCATATGCTGCTGTCCGGGAGAAGGCCTCCCTTCCAAAGCAATTAGCGCAGCTTAACGCCTGGGGAGATGAACCAGCACGAGTGCCGCGGCTGCCCACGCCCGGATGCCAGCAGGCGCAGCGAGGCCGCTTATCTCTGCGAAACAGTCACAACATCCAGGCCAGCGGAAGGTCCTGTCGACACAACCCTCTCTCTCCACCAGCATTTGATTTAGTTGAATCAGTCCTGATAACTCTGGGATAATAGTGATCATGTTTTTTCCTGTGTAATTATAATGAATGTCTGAGTCCTCCCAATTAAGAGCAAGGGATTAATATAAAAAGTGGACATCAGGAGACAAAACACGGAGTTGATGAGAGTCGGTGGTTCTGACTGGGGTTACTTGGGGGAAAGGCTAACAGCTACCTATCAGTGATGCCCATCCAGGTCACTAGAGTTCAGCAGACCTGTATTTTGTGCCCATTACACCTGGACAAGGGATGCTGCAGCCACGCGAAGGCTTTCAGAAACTGCCTCACCCAATTCCTCCAAAGGCAGCCAATGCTGGCTGGATGGTAACTGTGTACTGGGCACTGGGTACTTTTCATCCATAACTGCACTCCATCTTCCTAAACACCCCTAAAAGGTACTATTAGGTTCCTATTTAACACACAGGCAAATGGAGTCTTCGAATGGTGAAATATTTGTCCAGGATGGCAGAGCAAAGTATGAGGAAGGTGGGTTTCAAAGTGCAGAGCCCCATATTTAAATTCATATTCAGTCAGCCCTTCCCAATGCACAGGGTGCAGCTCTTGACATCCCTGATGATGCAGCATACACAGCCCTAGGGATCTCACACAGGCCTGGTTTCAGGGGCATGAGACGGATGCTGCCACACAGGGCCCCATGTTCAAAGGGCCTATGCTTGGTTTAACACTGTGCTGTCACTGCCTTGAAATTCTTAATAATCTTACTGTGGAATCTATTTTTTTTTAATGAGATCCAGTGGAACAAGATTATGCATGTGAGCAAAGAAGATATGGGAAGTGTGCAGGCCCCTGTTCCTTGCTGCCTGGGTCACACCTAGCATCTGGCAGTGCCCATGGAGTACAAAATTCTGATGGACAGCTACAGAGCAGGTGTTCCTCAAACGTGCCTGGCTATGTTAGGCTGTTTTGTACTGTGGTCATCAGATGACAGACTAAAATTAAGGAGCTAAAGGTAAGAGTGCCCTGTGGAAGCTCTCCAATCTTCAGCTCTATCAGTAACAAGACATGGTACCACTCACCTTCTCCTAAAATAGTGATACTGCTCACATCAACATAAAATCAGCCTGAATAAATAAGCAGTATTCCAGGGATCATGACTGCCTCATTCTGACGTCAAACTCCTCATGGAACTTTCCAAACATGCCTTCACACATCTCAATGGTCCCATTACTATTGAGCTCCAAACCCAAACCACAGAAGCTCATTTGCCAAAGACCCAGATGGCCTCCATACCTGATACTAGGCCACAAGATGATTTCATATAAATATGGCCTCTTCATCATGATATAATTCCTCCTGGCAACAAACCCTCCTTCACCCTCATCTCTGGGATAATTCTCTCATGCTCCAGTGAAGTCTGAGAAATTCCTTGGCTGAATTTTACACCATCTTTTGGGAATATATGTCATGGATCTATGGCATGAGTGCTGAAGCCAAGGCTGGTATACAGAAAGCATCTAATAAACACTGCGACCGTCAGTATCACCTTGCCTTATCTTGGGAATGCTTTCTCTACTAGGCCTCAAATGATCCCCATGGACTACCTATTTTCTAGAAACCTTTTTCTATAATTTGTTAGGGGCACATTGTGATTTTTTCCCCTGGGGAAAGCTCCTCTGTGTTTTCTATCTCTTCACTACACGTGTTTCCCTTCTACATGCTGCAGAGAGAAGCACTTTGTATACTTCTTATGACACCACTATCTCAAAGTGAATCAGACTGTGATCAGATCTGGTGGGGAAGGCAGGCTGTGAGATGGTGTTTCTCAAATGTGAAAACACAATGACCCAAAAAAGCTGATATTAAAGAGGTAGGTCCAGATGTTTGCCATTTGGGGGAAAAAGTACAGACCTGATAGAACTCTGTCTGAGTCAGTCCCCGTTTGTCCTTAATGTTGTATATTACATACTGAAGTGTCTGAAGGTAGCAGATGTTTAACAGTAGTGCCAAATTAGAGACCAGATAGATCTCCTGGATGTGAACAATGAGTACTAATTCATACTAGGAAGTCAGCTGCACTATAACTGCATTTCAATGGCAGAAGCACTTACTCTCCCATGTTAAGATGATGCGGATGAGCCCAGAACTGATGATTCTCTGTGACGTGGAAATATCTGAAGTGGAACTGGTGCCTCCATGGAAGCTTTGCACAGAGGGACAAGGCAGGGTTCAGGAGGACTCCCTGCTGATCTTATCAGTTCACCATCCTCCTTGTGAGGCCCCTAAGGGAGCCAGCTTTGAGAACCTTCTAGCGACTGAGGAAAGTCACAGTCCAAACGCTACTTATACTTGTACTGTGGTCATCAGATGACAGACTAAAATTAAGGAGCTAAAGGTAAGAGTGCCCTGTGGAAGCTCTCCAATCTTCAGCTCTATCAGTAACAAGACATGGTACCACTCACCTTCTCCTAAAATAGTGATACTGCTCACATCAACATAAAATCAGCCTGAATAAATAAGCAGTATTCCAGGGATCATGACTGCCTCATTCTGACGTCAAACTCCTCATGGAACTTTCCAAACATGCCTTCACACATCTCAATGGTCCCATTACTATTGAGCTCCAAACCCAAACCACAGAAGCTCATTTGCCAAAGACCCAGATGGCCTCCATACCTGATACTAGGCCACAAGATGATTTCATATAAATATGGCCTCTTCATCATGATATAATTCCTCCTGGCAACAAACCCTCCTTCACCCTCATCTCTGGGATAATTCTCTCATGCTCCAGTGAAGTCTGAGAAATTCCTTGGCTGAATTTTACACCATCTTTTGGGAATATATGTCATGGATCTATGGCATGAGTGCTGAAGCCAAGGCTGGTATACAGAAAGCATCTAATAAACACTGCGACCGTCAGTATCACCTTGCCTTATCTTGGGAATGCTTTCTCTACTAGGCCTCAAATGATCCCCATGGACTACCTATTTTCTAGAAACCTTTTTCTATAATTTGTTAGGGGCACATTGTGATTTTTTCCCCTGGGGAAAGCTCCTCTGTGTTTTCTATCTCTTCACTACACGTGTTTCCCTTCTACATGCTGCAGAGAGAAGCACTTTGTATACTTCTTATGACACCACTATCTCAAAGTGAATCAGACTGTGATTAGATCTGGTGGGGAAGGCAGGCTGTGAGATGGTGTTTCTCAAATGTGAAAACACAATGACCCAAAAAAGCTGATATTAAAGAGGTAGGTCCAGATGTTTGCCATTTGGGGGAAAAAGTACAGACCTGATAGAACTCTGTCTGAGTCAGTCCCCGTTTGTCCTTAATGTTGTATATTACATACTGAAGTGTCTGAAGGTAGCAGATGTTTAACAGTAGTGCCAAATTAGAGACCAGATAGATCTCCTGGATGTGAACAATGAGTACTAATTCATACTAGGAAGTCAGCTGCACTATAACTGCATTTCAATGGCAGAAGCACTTACTCTCCCATGTTAAGATGATGCGGATGAGCCCAGAACTGATGATTCTCTGTGACGTGGAAATATCTGAAGTGGAACTGGTGCCTCCATGGAAGCTTTGCACAGAGGGACAAGGCAGGGTTCAGGAGGACTCCCTGCTGATCTTATCAGTTCACCATCCTCCTTGTGAGGCCCCTAAGGGAGCCAGCTTTGAGAACCTTCTAGCGACTGAGGAAAGTCACAGTCCAAACGCTACTTATACAGAAGTGCCTGCTTTGTGTCTCTCCTGACAAGATGCCATGTGTGTAAACAGGCAGATCTTACCCTTCACAACTTTCTGGTATTTCTGAAGGTCCAAGTCCGTCCTTCATAAACTTTATAAAAACCTTGATTTGACTCAAGTGAGCTTCTTGGAGGAAGGAGGCTTTCATCAGCCTTACTACATGAGAACAGATATAAGTCACAACTTCAGTTCATTCCAAACACAGTGCCAAGCTCTGGAAACTTTGGCTACAAAGAGATGTATATTTATAGTCAGCATCTCCATGAAAGAAAGGAGATGTCTCATTTCATCTGTCTCACTCATGTTATGGGCCCAACACCCTTACGGTACCTACCCAACCCAAGGCAAACACTCAAATACTTGTTGACTCAGTGGACAAACTAAAATATATAAAAGGCCTTACATTCATGCAACACTTAAATATGATTTGACCCAATTTCAATTCTATGAATTTATTATAGGGAATTAATCAAGCAAATATGCAAATATTTATACAGATGCTCATCACTGTACTGTTTATAAAAACAGGGGGAAAAAAGGAAACCAAACTGTATTTTCAACAATAAGGAGGTTGAAATGTTTTGTAGTCATCTGAAATATTTTAAAAGAATATTTCAGGGACTAGAAGGGTTATCACAATTTGTAATAATTTTAAAGGACATTTAAAGAAGTAACAATCTACTTTTTTTTTTTTTAAGCACAGTTACCTGATAAAGGGCCTTCAGGATAAATACAGCAGTATAGTTGGTTCTTTTTGTTAAGATTACATGCAACTTTTAAAATTTTCTTCCTTTTGCTTATCCATATTCTTTATTATTTGGTATAAAAAGAAATGTTAAAAATGAAAGCATCATTAGACAGACAAAGACTGCTATAAATGAATCCCCTCCCTCTTCCTAACATGTCCATATTTGTAGAATTTCAAATTTTGGGATCTTAGTCACAAAGCCACCTTTCAACTTGCAGAAATACCAGGTTGCTCCACATAACAGACAAGACACACTACCAAGCGGCCACTGGGTGCCTGACTCGGGTCCTGGAGCGCTGGGGACAATGGAAGGAGAGAGAACCCCTGCCTTGAAGGGAACCAGAAAGATCCACACAATGACACCTCAGAGGGGCAGGCCTTTGCAAGAAAAGAAGAGAGTGGAGAGATGAGGCACAGAAAGCCTGGAGGGCAGGAGGAATTCTTGGAAAATAAAAGAACCAAAAACGGTTGGTTGGGTGAACTAAGCAGTCCTGGAGCCTCATTTACGATAAGGCCAGCGACGGCACCTATTCCTCTTGGTGGAGCCAACAACCCACACTCTCCGCCAGGGGGGATGGCAGGGCCCGCGCTGTCTCCTAGCCCAGCTCCCTAATTGATTCTGCCTGTGATACAAATGCAACCGACTCGCCAATTAAGGCAGAGCTGATTGAAGCTTGGCTGCATCTGTGGTTATTTCTTCTTTCCACACGTTTGTTGAGAGTGACACCGAGCAGAGAAGGACCACACACAAAAACCTTCAACTTCAGATAATGGAAATGTCTAAACAACAGCCGACACTGCACTGCTTCAACTCCAGTTTGCAATCTCAGATTCTGGGGCTGGTGTTTTTTAAAAGGTCCCAATGGAAGCTCCTTCTGAGGTGGTAGTAAAGAAGAGATACCTCCTGTAGAAACAAATTTAACACTGGTTCAAAAAAAAAAAGAAAAGAAACACTAAAACTCAGCTACCTACCTCAAAAATCTCTACAATGATTCAGAACTCTTTTCTCCTTATTATTGTATGAATGATCTTTTGACATCCTCTTATAAAGAGATAAAAAAGAGGAAATATTCATTTTCAGAACTAAATAATTTGAGACCAATTCCAGGGACTGGCTTTGCACAAGAATACATGTTTGGAAGGGCCAAGATTTAATGATCTGATGACACCATCCTGTAATTCTTACATTTTGGACAAGTGGCCCCTCATTTTCATCTTATACTAGGCCCTGCAGGTGATTTAGCCAATGCCGATGGCGGCTGTGGCTTGGGGCAGACACATGGACAGGAACTTGGCACTGTATTGGAAGACTGTCTCCGCTCACAGACTTTTGTCTCTACATAAATGTCTACTAATGTTCATCAATGCCTGGTTTTATTTCCCAGTGTCCTAAAAGGATAAAACAAGAATACAGCATTTTATCCTTAACTTAGGACTGTACATGGAGTCCTTCACAACTATTAGTTTGATATGCTAGGTATTAAAATCATCTAGTGTCAAATATCAGGAAAAATGAAGAGATTCAGAAGGCATCTCATAACCATGAAAATATTTAATATTTTCACTAAAAATAACTCAAATATTTAAGTCAGGCTCCCAAGGTTTAGAATGGAAACAGTAATGAGAGATCAGAAGATCCATACTTAATAAGAAGCTTCCACATTCAAACGAATCCAAGGAGAACAGCTAACTTCTGTGGGGTGACTCAAGCAAAAGTGTTGGGGTTGTACTAGACCCCAGTGATGTCTAAATAATATGTTCATGAACAGACTGCAACAGAAGTACCAGCAACTTGTTAAAAACATCCTGTGACTCCAGGCTGACAAATTCTAATCCAGTAGATCTCAAGTGGGCTCAGGAATCTACACATTGTTTAATATTGTTCTTGGGATTCTTACGCCTAGCTGCCAAGTTTTAATCATTCACCACCCCGAGGACGAGAATGGGAATTTTGAAATTATTTAAGTCGAAATGCTTTTAGCCAAACATGACCAGTCTCATCCAACATGATGTGTCCATGATAAAAATTTGAGTGATTGGTTTTGGTCAGCTACTCTGGATCACACAAATCCAAGTGCAAGACCTCAGGCACACGATCTGGGCATCATCAAAAAATAATAGATAGATAAACATTTGATTATCAAGGAAAATGAGTCCCAAGTGAAGAAACCTCTGGGCAAGGAGGTC